TTATTTTATTACAATAACACACATAGGTAAATTAAAGTTTGTTACAATGTCACAGAAATTTGGCCACTAAGTTGACGACTTTTCTTTGAAGAAATAATTTAACTTTCGCAAGAGACCTTTCGCACACGTCTTTTGCGTAATCAATGTCTAATGGAGAGTAGTTCAAAACATCACAGTGTCTTTCCAAACAATTCAGTCAGTTACCAATTTTAACTTTGTTATATCGTTAAAATTTATTCTGCAAGACAACCATTGTTTAGCTAAGTGATCTACAATAAAATTGCACGCCTCTATTATTGATTCTTTTTTTGTCTGAGTCAAAAGGATATATTTCAAGCAATAGATAGCTCTTGAATTCCATTGTGCGTTTTAAATAAGCCCTGGTTTAGAAAAATAAATCACGGGTAAAGTGATTGTGTCTTCATAAGACTTGTATTCTTTACATAACAATTCCAGCTCCGTATACTTAAATTATTACTTTTAACAACTGGCCAGTTAGGTTTATATTTTCAATTAATTCATGGTAGTTACTAATAAACTCATTAATGAACCGGTAATTAACATTAGACTATGTTGATAAGGAATCAAACTTTGAGTTCATAAAATGCTTAAGAATCAGGTTGAGAACATGAAATCGACAAGGATAATACACTAAACCTAGAATAGTTTTTGTCAAACGCCTAACTACTCCACTTTTAAAACCTGTATTTACTGCAGTGGTGTCACATATTACAACGGAAATTTTATATCATAAATTGAATTCCAAAATAATATTGCGTAATATGTCATAAATAGAAACAGAGTTGCTTTTCTCTAATTTTCTCAAAGATAATATCAAAGATTTAGACTTACTCAAAATGCAAGTGCTATAATAATGTTGTTTGTCTATGCTCTTACCATCAAAATGTAAGCACCACATTTCTTCAGAAGAGTCTATATAAGACCGAATCAAGCTTAATGCATATACGAGTGTTATAGATGCTTTTTGGACTGCCAATTTTCAAATCAATGTCTCATTAATGGTATTAACCCATTATCAAGTCACCTTATAATAGCTTCATTTAAAAAATTATTCCTTTTGTATTTGAAATTAATTTATATTTCTAAGTATTATTTTTGAAAAAAAAACTTTTTTTGGTCATCCTACCATGAGATATTGATTTATTATATTGTTTTACAACCTCCGGACAAATTATGGTCACAATTTTTTTTTCCTTTCCGATCCCATATTTGAGTAGAACATACTGAAACACATATTTGGTACACATATGGATACACTTGCTATTATACCATTTTGTTATCACAATGTTAAAATTTATATCAGTTTTGTATGCATAACTTCCTCTTCAAGACTTTTTTTTAGCTCTTTTTCAGTTGGTAATAAACAATGTTCAATTCTATCACTTCTTATAGTCAAAGTTACCAAGAATCCCAATTCTTTAAGACAAAGACAAAGTTGTCATTGAAGTGTCATTGAGGTGTAAAAACTGAAGCAACTTTTTATATCTGCTTAATAGCATTACGTCTGTAATTAAAGGATATCTTGTTTCAGATGCACAATACATTGCATATGATGGCATTTTGACAAAAGACATATAAATGTGCATGTCTATAAATTGCTCAATTTCTTTCACATTGATGTTAATGCTTCTTAATGTTTTTTGTACATTATACAAATTAGTTTCATCTGTTATTTGTTTTTAATTTCATGCTTCCAAAACATTTTAAAATGGTTTAAAGGTGTTAAAGTGCTTACATCAGTTGGTGGTAAAGAAAACTGAGTTCCAAGAAACTCCGTCTTTAATTGGATTGGTTGTGATGATCTCCATCTATAAACATGATTATCAAATTTTGACATATCATTTGTATTTGTATCTTCTATACCACTAATAACACTATTAACATTTTCATATTCAATATCAGCATCTGAATATATATTTTTTCTTCAATGTTGTTTCTGTCTTGTTTTTTAGAAATTTCAACATCATCATCACCGCTATTTTCTAAATCTGACATTTCAGTATCTCAACAAGGTTCCAAAATTATCGTAAGAGCTTTATCAGCTCTTACGATAATTTTGCTCATCATATTTTATTCATATTGTTATATATATATATATATATATATATATATATATATATATATATATATATATATATATATATATATATATATATATATATATATATATATATATATATATATACTTTAAGCATATAGAATTACTAAAAGAGAATTGTAAAGTCATTAAAGAAATATGAAGAAAACATTAAATACTTTACCATAAAAACAAATCTTAAAAATGAAACTCAAAAAAAGTATAAAAACTATGTTTACAAACTAAAATCTTTAGAATTTAGCGGAACAACAATGAGATTCAAATTAAGCGGAATTTTAATCTCATTGTTTAAAGGATCCATTTGTATACCAGTAACTTTTGAGGTTAAAAAAATTATTCCATTATATAAAACTTTTATCAAGTTTTATTCTCTTTAAAAATTTGATTCTTTGGCAAAAAAAAATCAGTTGAATAATATTAAAGAATTTAAAAATAACTTTGTATAAAGTTAAAAATAAAAATGTCACTTTTTCATATCCAAAACTATATGCTGGTAAGTAATTAAGTTACTAATCTAGATTATTCTACTGAACAGCCGGTTTTAATTTCAAAAAGAATACTAGTATTTTACATAACAACAATAAAAAAAATCAAATGCAACTAAGATCTATGGTTTTTTTTGAATTAAAGTCATGGTATTCATTTAGATCCCGTGGACAATAAAGGGTTAAGTACAGCTTATGCAATCTTTGCCGTACAACTTACTGGATATTCTTCATTTTCAGTATTTTAGCTACCATTTTACCGGTGATCTTTGCACGTTTTAATGGGATTGTGTAATCATCACTTGTACTATTATTTTCTGAACTTTCACTACTAGAACTCTCTGTATCATTAAACGATTGACTATAATTTGTTTCATGTTCTTTTCTTTTAGGTGGCAGGTCTACCGGATGTGTTGTAATAGGTTCTGTCACAATACTGCATTGACCTTTGCACCCATTGGAAGATTTCTGAAGTTCATGAAAGAGTTTGTCTTCCAGATTTTTAAATTTAACATTTTCGGGCAATAAGTCAAACAATTTATCCAAGCTATTTATAATGATATTCTTTTTATTTGTGCTTTGTGAAGATTTGATAACAAATTTATAACTTTAATAAGCAGACTACTTTTCTTTGCTCAGATTTGTCCGTAAAACATATTATCGTCATTTTATTCCATAATTGACAAACTTCAATTAAGATTTCTTTAATAACATCACTTGATCTTGGAATATTTAAATATTACCCAATTCTAAAAGGAAATGATATCTTTCTAATATCTGCTATGTCTTACATAATATTGAAAAATCCATCAGTGACTTCTGAATCAAATTTCCATATATACGATTCCTTGGCTTTAAAATATTGGAAAGGCGATTCATTTGTTCAGTTAAATTATTATCTGATATCTTGTACATCTAAAATACAGATTATGTTTAAATATATACAATATATAATAGTTAAACATTGCTTAACTTTTATATATTGTTTAATAAACAGTATGAGTTGTTTAAGCAAATTTTCAAACTTTTGAAGATGCATTAATATGGATTTACGCAGAGGGTTTTTTGCATTTTAGTAGTTTATTTTTATATTTTTTTTAGGTAATTATTCCACCAATAGTTAAAAGGCCATAACTTGAAAAAAAAAAATTCCTACCCCTAATGCTCATGTCAAACGAGAATTTTTTGCTGAGAGCTGCGCCGATTGATGTCGAATAACAAAAACACCCCACATCCTAAATATGAGGATGATAAGTTGAAAAAAATATTTTATTTTATTTTATACTAAATTTAATTCCATCGACTGATTTTAAATATCAGTGTGATATAAGGTTTAGTGTCCTAAACCCTTATCTGCCTAACGTTCATACATGTAATGATAATCGTAATAAGTACTAATATACAGTATTTTCTTAAATAAAAAATGCACTTTTTGTTGAAAAAAATTTAGTTTCTGGCTTGTAAAAGGCGGTAGAATTTATTTGATGGTTCAAATATGACTTAGTCAAGCATTGTGGAAACTCCAAACATAAATACGTTCATGGTAATATTAATTGAGATTGTTTTGCAAAATATAAAGGTCATTGGTAGCTGGTAACATAAATACCTAACGTTCATATAAAAGAACGCTGCAAAATAATAATATTAAAATAAACTCATGTTTCATATTTCACAACTACACGTTGTTATCTTTTATTTGAATTATAAGATTACAATTTTCAACATCTTCGCTTCCAACAAGGCTGCAAACAACCACTATTAGAGTTTAAAGTTGCAGAGAAAAACTGAAGTTTATAGAGTGAGATAACAATTGATAGACAAACTAAAAGATTGCAAATTATATAAATCAGGAAAGTAAGATGAAGGAAGCGATTTCCATAGAATTGATCTTCAAGGAAAAAACCTGACAAAAAAAAATATTTGGAGCACTTGGGAACAGTCAAAGAAAAAGGATAAGACTTAATTGAATGATGATTAGCACGAAAATGAATTTTAATATATGGCGCAAGAGACGTTTGCTTTTTAGAGCAGTGCCCATAGTAGAAGGAGATAGAGCAAACAGTGACGGATATCGAGGAAATGTTGGTGGAAGGGGTGGGGGTGGTTTGTTGAAATATTTTTTTATTTTGTATCATATTAATGTCTTTTTCTGGAAAAAAAAAATGTCCTTGATTTCTAAGATATTTTTAGGACTTTTAGAGTCTGGTGGTGAGGGATGCAAACCCCATCCCCCTGCATCCGCCACTGAGAGCAAAAGATAGATGCAACATCACGACAATATTATTTTAGTTAAAATTGTTATCATTATTACATATTATTAAATATTATAAATACTATACAATTATGTTCTGACGTCTATAAAGACATATTAAAAAACAAGTATAAAAACTGCATACCTTTCAACATGCTGATTCTTACAAAGATATATATGAGATTTTACGTTATCCCAGTATATGCCTCGACCGTAGCTCTCTAATTTAGAAAAAAAATCAGATATTTTAAATAATGCTTTTATTTTTAAAAACTAATGTTTTTAAAAACTGATTATAAAAATCTGAAAACAATCTATTCGATATTATAAAATCTGTTGAAATAAACCATAGTAGTATGATAAATTGTGTCGCAGGTATAACAATATAATGTATTATGCGATTACATAGTATGTTGTAGTATAATATTTATTTGATATAATATTTATTATACTATAACATACTATGTAATAGTATGATAAATTAAGTTATACATTTCAAACAACTCTACTTTTAGTTGATTCGAAACAACTTTTAAATCAATTTATTCCGCATAATTACAATATTCTTTAGAAAACACTTTAATAATTTTATTGTAGTAAAATTTTTATCACTATCTTAGTTCTTTTATACATTTCCAGAATAATATTTTTTGAGCATTATTACTAGACTACATGGTTTGCATTTTTAAATACGATTTATTGCTGCCTATAAAGCGAGCGCTCTAACCACTGCGGCCATGGTGCAGTTGTTAGAGCGCTTTCTTTATAAGCAAGAGAACCAGATTTGAAACGAGCTCTGGACATATTTTCGCGTCACAGTAAGGAAGGAGGCTTTAACTTCCTGGTTAAATGCACTACTGCGGTGCTCTGTGACAAGCCCGTTGATGGTTTTCTCGGGGTACTTAAAAACAATAAAAAAATTAAAAAATACAAATAATTACTAAATTTAATTTGCGTTCACTGTAAAATTGGGTAAGGTTTAAATTTAAAGTGAAAAAGATTGACACATTCACGGATTGTGACGCTGCAGGTTCTTTCAGGAATGGGGGTTATCCAATTGAAAAAAAAACATCTCCTACAAGGACTAAAGGTAGGTTTTCATCAATCCCACACAGAACTTAAACAAAAACCTATGTGGGTTAAGCGCTTGTTTTTATTGGAATTAAATTTTGACGTAATTTTATAAGTTAGGGTGGGTGAGGAAAAGGGTCTTTATAAGTTTGATAAGTTGTTAACAAGGAGGAGGAAGGAGATGTATAACCCGCCAAAAAAATGTTGACGTAAGTAATGGACAGCCCCTAAGTTAATTTTAGTGCTAAAGGCCACTGAAGAAGTTTTTTTTTAGTAAATTTTGAAACATTATAGCAACTTTTGCGGAGACGTTTTTGTTAAATAAGGGGTTGAACCATATAATATCTATTTGAAATCCTTTATCATTACACATTTGGATTATGTTTTTTTCCATTCGCCATTGTAGCTGCCCATTGTTACATCAAAACTTTCATGACTTAGTTTTTTTATTCACATGTTGTTGTTAAAGTAGTACAAACATATGTATATATCAATAAATACATATTGTTGGCCTAGTATAGCACCAGCCACAAATAGTCATTAAGACTAATCCAAAGTAGCGTCCGTTATTGACCAACATTTTTACGTACAAAAGTACGTGCGAGTTGGCAGTGTCAGGATTTCAATCCGTATCGTAGTAAAATTTAAGTTCAACAACACCAAAATCTTTTGACTGAAGGCAAGTTTAACCAGTCTGCATTAGCTTTGCATAAAGTAAATTGTAATGAAGATATTGGATGGAATAAAGTAATAGCACTTAAAGTTGAGGATAAAAAATTTGAAAGAAAAGTCCGTTAGACCTTAGAGATACAAAAACATCAATGTTCTCTAACGTACGATGGTATGAATTTGGACAATAGACAATATTTAAAAACAAATTTTTGGACTTCATTTTTTTCATACTTAGGGGTTGTCCATAAATTACGTCACGCTATAAGGGGGAGGCGGGGGTTGGTAGTTTTGTGACGAATCATACAAAACTTAATCGTCACAAAATCGTAACACTTTCTTAAGTGTAACGATTTTGTGACGAGGGGGAGGGGGAGGTCAAAATCTGTCAAAAAATGCGTGACGTAATTTATGGACAATCCCTTAGTTAAAAGACGCCATTATAAAGGTGACGTCAAAATTTAAAAAATTTTATGTTGTTAGTTAACGGTCACAATTTTTGTAATAATATTATATTATATGCTGATGATGCCGGTGCCTATATTCCGGCGAAAACTTTAAATAAATTATTTAGTATTGAGAGAATTCGTATTATGTGATGTTTTAAACTTATATATATATAGTTTATATATAGTATAATATATATTATATATAGTATAAATAGTTTATATATATATATATATATATATATATATATATATATATATATATATATATATATATATATATATATATATATATATATATATATATATATATATATATATTAGGGTATCCCAAGTTTACGCTTTCTTTTAAATTTTTATGTGGACGCATTTTTTCCCATTCTGTCGTGTCCCCTGATTGCAAATATATATATAAAAAACATCATTGGACCACAATTTTAGCAAAATGGATAAATCTATTTTTTGTTAAAAATCGAAACTTTATACATTTTCCAAATAGAAACACCATAATGTGTCAAAAAAATGTATTTCAAGAATAATAAGATATATTTTTTAACTAGGACTTAAAAAGATCTTTTTTAAGCTTTTTTCTAATGTCCCTGGCCACCAGCATTATGTTTTGCTGCATATTGTCAGGTTTATATTGTCCTACAATGTCCTGAATAAGGCGTATGTTTCTTTCTGCACAATCGTTAACGCAAGTCAAATTTTTAAACAAATTTTTTAAATGAGTCTAACGACTTTAGGGTTTTTTTTCATCCTCCACAGGTCTACTTCACTATCTAAGACTTCTGCAATTTTTAATAGTAGTTAACTTTTTTTAACTACCAGTTCCTAAAGCTCAGTGGACTCCGATATGATTGGTAACTCAGGTTTTCCAATCTTGAACTTGACAGAAACGACATACTGAACTAATCTATCCAACATCTTTTTTTTCACTTTGTGCTCAACATCTTCATCAGCCAGAGATAGCAGCACTAACTGACAGTTAAGTACCAGTTACGTCTTTGCATGCTAGCAACCAATGCTGAACCAAGATTGGGATATTTTTCTTTGATGCAAAAACCATTCTTTACAACAGCAAGATTATTTGAGGGTGAAGTTACAACCAAGCTCAACTTTAAAAACTAAGTTGCATACCTCACAGACGTAAAAAAGGATGCTGTCTCTATAATTTTTCCACTTCACTTATAATCATGGTGATCTTATCAATTATTCTTAGGGTAAGAATGTATAAAGCATCAGCCATAAACCTAAAAGATAAGATTTTGTCACTCTTAATATTTGTTTATTATTCTTTTTTATTTATGTTTTATTTATTATACCTACACATTTTTTTTCAATATACTATATTTAGCTTCATGGAAGACTCCAGGTTTATAAAAACACAGTCCAGGTACATCTTGTCACAAATAGAAAATAAAAAGCTTGCATAGTTTTCTGTAATCATTCCTCACAAAAGTTTTTTAGGCATTGCTTCTTTTCCAAACTCCAGAGCTTTCTTAGCAGTTTCATAAAGGGGTGATACTACCTGAAGCTGACTCCAATCAAACCTAACTAGATCTATCATTTTGTTAATCTCTTTCTTGAAAAAACACCAATTTTTTCTGGAGTTTGACATACAGCCCTATTTTTGGGCCCTTTGTCTTCCCTCCGGTCATAGCCTCCTAAAAGTGTAAGATTTGTATTTCTAGCATACGTCTTTTACAGAGAAACCAAGTGGAATATTAAGTATGGAGCTAAGATTAAAAATAGCTTTAGAGTGTATTCCAGTATCGGATAAAGTAGTGTCACAGTTAAAAAAAAATATTTAATCTACAATGTCATAGTATTCTAGCAGTTTCAAAATTGCTTCAGCCTGGTCATTACTTTTAGAACTTGGTGTCTGAACAACACCTAGCAGTATGTCATCTGTCTCATCCATATCAGGGGATGTAACAGTGGTCGCTATTATTTCTATAGAAACGGTTATTTTTATCCTGTTTTATTCTTTTTCATCAAAATGAACACATAGCCTTTTGCAATTAAGAGTAGTTATAATTAATTGCCTGAACTTATCTCTTAATATCTTAATTTTTTAAATCTTTTTCTATGTACTGTACTTCTTGGTATATTAATATCTTTTAGATTAACACCACATTTATTTCAAATAGTACTAATAAAGTTTATGGGCTTTACTAATAAAGTTTGTGGGCTTTACTAATAAAGTTTGTGGGCTTTACTAATAAAGTTTGTGGGCGTAGAATTACTCTGTATCGGGCAGAAACTGCTGTAGTACAGTCGATCAGATCTTTAGCACTTATACTTATCATTATCTTAAATTTAGGAGGTCATTTTTTATTGTCTAAAGAACCTAAACTAAGATCCGATTCAGAATCAATTCCAGATGAATAAAAAGAAACTTTAAGTTAATTGGCTTTTACTGCATTATTTGTGATACTACCTTTGCCTCTTGCTTCCTTCATCCTCCTGAGCCAAATAAATTCATTTTTAACTAAATGTTTTAATACTTCATCCAGTTGTTCTGTAATATACATGTTTCGCTCACCTTTTTGATCTAGATAGAACTTAATATCCTTCTTTTTGACATTCGCAGAACGAAAACAATCCTGATAAACTTTTTCTTCAATATTTGCCGATGAATTATGAAAGAGTGTATTAATCTTCTTAAAAAACTCATTATGTATCTTAGAGAGGTTGCCTCTATCTTTGAGAAGTCGTCAGAAGTTGTTAGAGTTCCAATTCAATGATTTGAGATGATTCAGATTTATATAAGTATTATGGAGCTTCAGTATTTTATCCCTGACACTGCATCCACTGATGAAAAAATCTTAAAACCCTGCTTTCTTTTAAGCGTCTGTTACAGCGGAGGCAACAAATTTTTGTTCAGAGTTCTTGCAGAAATTATATTTGCAGATCAGATACCTGTTCTCATGCTTTTGAGGGCAGGCTATTATTAACTTTGTAGATTAAAATTTTATTGATCTAAAATATAGACAAGTATTTATCATTATGTATTTTTTGTTCTTACAAAATTTTTTGCTTCATTGTGTCATTTTAAACAATTAGGGAGGGAAGATATATTAGATTAAATATGCACTACATAAAATAGACTTTTTTAAAAATTTATCATTGTTTTATAGTATATTTATATATAAAAAAATAATTATTTGTTCTACCTGGGATATTTTAGTAACTGGATGTATCTCAGAATATTTCCAATGGTTGCCAGTATTTGTTTTAATTGTTTTATCGAAAGCTCATTAATTGTGTACTTTAGGAGAAACAGCAGACTCCTTAGATTTGTTGACAGGCTGTACTTTTCTTAGCCTTTTTTTTTTTTTTTTTTTTTTTTGAGCACAACCCATTTTATTTAAATTTTTATTATTTAATTATAATTCTAAAACAAATTTAAAAAAATTAATTTGTGTGTCCCCTTCGAAAAATTATATTTAATTAAACAATTTTTAAGTAAATATATGTATATTGATGGTATTCATAACTATTATATAATTATATATGAAAAAACAAGTTCATATTTAACTTCTATTTATTACTATAAGCGGTTAAAATCAAAAAAATAGAAAAAATCCGAAAAAATAGAAAAAACAAAACAGTATAGGAAAAACACAAAAGTTGTTCAACTAATCATCATAATGGACCCCCTCTGTAAATCATGCTCCAATGAACCTTTTGTTCCAAATAAGCCTGATGGACTTATTCTTATATAGTATAAAAACATTGATTTGCTAAATTTTCTAAGGTAAGGAGCATTAAAAGAAATTGTAAAAATTTGCGTACAAAAAAAAATTTTTTTGGGACACCCTAATATATATATTTATTTATGTATGTATTTGTATAGCTTAAACAAATAAAAAATTTTAGATTTAAGACCCATGAAATTAAAACAAATAAGTTGAAAAATGGTTTTTAGTATCAACTTTTTTTCTCCAAAATCACATAGAATCTTTAGGGCTTTTGATTAGAGATGATAAAAAAATATTTTATAAATAAAAAATGTGTATACGTATTTCTCTTAATATGTATGTATAATAAATATGTTAAGGATGTAAAATACCTAAATCTTTTATTTGATTGATGATAGATTTTTTACAGCTTTTCGTGAAGTTTTTTCTAACTGTTTGGTATAGATTCCAGGGTTTCTTTGCAGTATTTTCAAAAGAGAGTTTCATAGGTATTTCAATAACGTTTGATCCACCATATATACAGGACGTACTTTGGATCATAGTGACCACGCTATGACTTATTCCACTAGCATTTAAACTCATAGGAATCTAAAACAAATCATTTAGCAATAACTTTGTTTTGAAATCTTTACTCTGTTTACTCTACCTATGAAAATATATATATATATATACTACTTATGAATATATATATATATATATATATATATATATATATATATATATATATATATATATATATATATATATATATATATATATATATATATATATATATATATATATATATATATATATATATATATATATATATATATATATATATATATATAGTTTTAAAGAGCGCGTTAATAAACCAGACCAGAAAAAGTTTTAAAAATTAATTTTTTTTTTTAATTGATAGACTGCCTGGCCAAACCAAACCCTCAGTCGATGTAGCAGCACTCTCTTGCGAGTCAGGCTATTTGTCAGTCGTTGTAGCAGCACTCCCTTGCGAGTCAGGCTATTTGTCAGTCGATGTAGCTGCATTCCCTTGCGAGTCAGGCTATTTGTCAGTCGATGTAGCAGCACTCCGTTGCGAGTCAGGCTATTTGTCAGTAGATATAGTAGCACTCCGTTGCGAGTCAGGCTATTTGTCAGTCGATGTAGCAACACTCTGTTGCGAGTCAGGCTATAAGATAGTCGATGTAGCAACATTTACGCATGTTTTAAAAATATTTTTTATTAAATCAATAACAAAAACACCACTAATTAAAAAAAACTTTCTAGTCGTTATAATTGCGGTTTTTTAAAAATTTTTTAAAAAACAGTTAAATTTAATGTACTTCCGCATAAATTAATTGCTTTGACATTTCGATAACAATCAAAAACAGCTTAAGAGACGAGATAATTAAAATTGTAGTCGTAAGAGACTTTTTTTATATTAAAACGCTCTTTCGACTACGCTATATGGGTATATATATAAATATATATATATATATATATATATATATATATATATATATATATATATATATATATATATATATATATATATATATATATATATATATATATATATATATATATATATATATATATATATATTATATATATATATATATATATATATGTATATATATATGAATATGTATATATATATACATATATATATACATATATATATACATATATATATATATATATATATATATATATATATATATATATATATATATATATATATATATATATATATATATATATATATATATATATATATATATATATATATATATATATATATATATATATATATATATATATGTATATATATATATATATATATATATATATATATATATATATATATATATGTATATATATATGTATATATATATGTATATATATATACATATTCATATATATATACATATATATATACATATATATATATATATATATATATATATATATATATATATATATATATATATATATACGTTGGGCCAAAGTATATAATAAAACGTTAAATCAACGTAGATAATATAACCATTTTCCAACTTTAAGGAACATTTCCTTAACCTTATTTTTTAGTTGTTGGCGACGTCGCGTTTGTAAACATGATGATTTAAAAACAACGGTGGCAGCCGATGAACGCGTTTGTAAACATGATGATTCATGAACAACGGTGGGCCAACAAAATGCGCAACATTGTTCTAATTTTTTAACAACGTATGTGTGGTAGCTGGTTAGCATATGAATTTGAAAAAACAAATTAGATTTAACAAAAGATATACAGTTTTAGCGAAAAAGGAAAATTTAATAGTTTTAATTTGTTTTATCATATAAATTATTCAAAAAAGTAGCTCAAAAAATTTAAAGTGTAAATAACTTAAACTGAAAAATTAAAAAAAATATTTTTTTCATTTAAAAAAAAAAGATATTTTCAACCTACAGTGCAGTGTACTAAACCTACATGCATATAGCGTAACGAGGGTCAAAATGAGACACTTAAGCGCTAATATATCTAATACGGCCCGTCTAACAACTTTTGAAAAAATAACTTGATATTTTTCAATTCTTCTACCATTCTACTTGAAGCTTGAAAAGTATGAGTTGAAAAACTGCAGTGGTTTGGTCACCAGAGATGATTTATTGACAGCACCTATCCTGTCTCATTTTGCCCCGCATACCGGGGCAAAATGAGACAGATTTTTTTTTAGTAATAAATAAAGTTAAACAAAACAGATCTTTAAGAGGATTAGCAAGAAATACATTTTATAATTCATTACAGCTATAATCAAACTGTCACTAGTCACATAAATCACATATTGCTTGACCAGTATTTTGAAACGAACAACAAAATATATATATATATATATATATATATATATATATATATATATATATATATATATATATATATATATATATATATATATATATATATATATATATATATATATATATATATATATATATATATATATATATATAATATATATATATATATACCCACTGCAAGAACTAATAAAACCATGTATGCATATATTAAACTTATGTATTTAAAGCACGCATAACATTCATTGTATTTTGTTTACAGATACTGCAATAACCTATATGTTATAATCTACTCACTATATATTTTATATACTACTTACTTTATTACATTACAATACATTAAGATTATAAAATACAAACATAGTAATTATAAACATCAGGCAATTATTTGCCTCAATTTGATTAAATATTTATTATATTTAAATATAAGTTAACAAAATATAAAACGTAATTTTATATTGGATAACAACTAAACATTTTAATTAACAAAATAAAAAGTAAGTAAATTCAGTATAATAAATTTAAATCTACAGCATGTAAATATTAATATTTGCTTTGTTTGTTGTTTTACTGTAAAAAATTAAATAAACATAATATTAGATATCAGCAAAAAAAAAATACAAACAGAGTGTCTCGTTTTGCCCCGCATCATGTTGGCATCGAATAACCTAATTTCCAGACTATTTTATTGAAGAAATAATATACCAAAAAATGGAAATGAAAGAAAAAGGCCTAAAGATTCTAATAAAAAAAACTTTAAATATAAAAAGCTTTTTACTCAGTGTGATCAAAAAAAGAAAAAATATAATAACAACACTTAAAAATTCGTAATTTTCGCGATGCCAAGGGATGAAATGATTCCCCTTTTACTCAAATTTTTTATTTCAAAGTGACTCAATATATTTTTCTTGACACAAAATAGTTTTTGAACACAACTGCACTTTTAAAAATCGTGCAAATAATAATTTGTAGGGCTGGCATCATGTTAAACGTGAACTGTTTCGCATTGCCCCGCTGTCTCATTTTGCCCCGCATTACCCTAGTATAATATGCATAGTTAATTTTTAGGCTGGGACCATAAAAGGTAATCCTAATATATTACTTATCTGATTAAAATGCTACAAAACAGTTAATAGTTAAAAAATATGTGTATAACTATCTAAAAAAAATCATACCAAGTACTTTAAACGGTTAGAATCAACTTTTACCAAACCCAAAATTAGTGATTCAGAAACTAGCGTTACGCTTAGAGGTAGAAAATACTCCCAAGTTACGTTAAAAGCCAATTCACCAGGCTCATATACGTAAGTGATTTGAAGTGAAAGATTCAAAGAATAACTAAAAGCATTTAAAGTAAAGCAAGTAAAGAAGTTTTAAAAAGTATAATAAAAGTTTTATGAGAGTTTTATTACAAATAACTTACTTAAATATAAATATATAGAAGTGGAATGTTGATCAAATAACTTACTTGCTTAATTCTCCATTAAAAACCACGTTTAATTGAGGTTTACAATACAACTGAGTACCTAAAAACAAATGTTTTTATTTTTATTTTTTAAAACAACACTGTTTTAAATTAAAGAATAATAAAATATATTTCATTGTCTCTATTTTAAGGGAAAATTTCCTGTTTCCAACAAGTAGTTTTAATAGTGAGGAGTATGTTTTTGATGGTTTTAATGGTTGATATTTAAAATGGATTTTAATGTTTAAAAAAGATTGATCGTAATTCAATCACAAAAAATTACATGCTGTTTTTAAATTTTTTTCTTACATAAATTTAGATAATTTTAAAAGGATTTTTTTTTGATCTACTCCCTTAATAATCTTAAAATGTTTTTTTTCCTCTAGGAAAACTATATTACAATAAAAAATATAATAAGTGCATGAACTCTTAATTTTTTTGACTTTCAGACAAAAACTTCGTTCGTATTGCGTTAAAAAGTACAGTAAACAAACACTTTGAAGAGGCTGCCATAAAAACTAGACAACTTGAAAACTTTTCAAGTTGTCTATATATTATAATATCGCAACCCAATTTAGACAATAAAAAGTCACGTAAATATTTTAAAATTCAATATCCAAGTTTAAAGAAACAATTAAAATAAATACAGTAAATTTTTTCAAAATTGTATATCTAATTGGATTCTGTTATCCAAGAAGATTGTCGAATTGTAACACGAAAAATGTCAAACCCTAGTACAAGGTGTGCTTTTTTTCTACTTGATGATATATCATTTTAGATTTTCTAAATTCAATATTAGTAAGTTAAGTAATTCTTAGAAACTGTATATGTTATACGATTTGATTAATTTTTATGTTATATATATATATATATATATATATATATATATATATATATATATATATATATATATATATATATATATATATATATCACTTTGGTATATACGTATATTAGGCTTGAACAGATATTTTGTTATACATACTTTTAATTTTAAAATTATTATATACTTACAGAATTAAAATTATATATAAAAAAGTATTGTCAAATTAGTTACTAAATAAATATCTTGTTTTGAGTTTATTTATTTTTGGATTTGAATTAAAAGATTCTGAGTTTTCTTACATATTACTCTAAGATAACTTAGAATCCAGTTGCGTGATCCAACAAGATATGAATAAAATGAAACTCTTGCCACATGGTGGTTTAGTATTTCCACGACGTCCAAATAATGTTATTTCCAATTTCAACATTAAAGTGGTGATTTTATATCAGTTTTCCTTTTCCTAGGTGAGATGATTTATCACTACCAAGGAGCCACACTAAGGCTCCTTAGTCAAATAAATCTGGGTACATAATAACGATTACATTTTTTGCAAATATACTTTTTTTTCTTTCAATATTTTTGTGTGCATTTGATAAAAATGACAGTTAATGGAATTCAACATTTTCTAGATCAGCTGTTTAAAGCCGCTCGGTGGGCAGTCACCTTTGCACCTAGTAAGTTAATGTATGAACAAGTTTGTGCAAAAAAATATAACAAATTTCAATAATTTTTAAAGTAAGTTTTGTTGTCACAAAAATCTTAAAGCTGATTAACCAACTTCAGGGTTTGTAAAAAAAATTATTCAAGATAATTATTTAACAATTGATAATAATATTTATTAAAGATTCCAGTCATTATTTTTTAGCAATATGGAACTTTTATTTTTACTAATGACAGGTTACTAATGACACGTTACTAATGACAGGTTTTATTTGCAATAAAAACCTGTCATTAGTAACGTGTTAAAAATATTTTTTATATTTATTTTAGTAATTATTTTTTATTTTAATTTTATAACAATTTTTATTTTATAAAAAACCAATTACTGTATAGTATAGAAGCACAGTGTACTAAGAAGTACTTTAGTACACTCTATTAACAAGTAAAATTTTTGCGAACTAATTTATGAATTATTTCGCAAAAATTAATTCGGGAAAGTAGCTACTATTAACAAGTCAATTTTTCGTAGAGTGTCAGAATTGGTAAGTAAGGACAAAAACTTTTCTCAAATTAATAAACTCATTTTAAAAATCACATTTCACTTAACAATTTGAATTTGAAAATGTTTTATTAACAACAAAAGGTAAAATTAAAAAAGGAAAACAAAACAAGCAGCATTTCAGATTGAAGTTAATTAACAATAAGTACAATAAATTGAAAAAAGGAATAAAGTTTACACAAGATTTAATAGATTTAAGTAAAGAAAGAAGGTGAACGAGATAAAAGTATAACTGTTTTTGGTGATGGAAAACATAATGAAAAGATTGTTTGATCACACTTTGCCGCATAAGTTGATCCAAGCTAAGTCTTTTTCTAATATTTTCTATTCAGAATGTTTTTCTACTGTTTTATACTTTTTTATTATTTTTAAAATTTTTTTAAATTCAATCTTGTTTGTTTAATTTAACTTTTATTTATTTTCATATTATATTTTAATTATTTATTTATGTTTCAGCGCAGTGAAGTGTACATTAAGAATATATGACCTTTTTTCAATAAAGATTCCTGGGTTGGCAAATGATGAACTTTTATCTAAATATAGTAAATATGACTTAATTTTTGTTTAAGTTTAAAAAAAACCTGGCGCACCTTTAGAGAAATAGCTACAATGTTTAATTTACACAAGTTATATATTGTAAAACAGAAATTTTAAACATCCATATGAATATATGCTTACTTTAATTACTGTTGAGCGTTCGCAATTGTAAATTTGAGTTTAAGAATTTAGCATTAAGGTACTGGTCACTTTTGCAGGTAGTGCAAATGTCTTCCATTATTTTGACTGCTCTTTCAGCTACAATGTTTGATCAAGGAATGTCAATGACTGAAAGCTGATTTACCCAATGCGTTTGCAAACACTTTGTTGCATTCTGGCAATCAAAATCTGAAACAGCAGAATACATTTCTTCAAAACTGTGTTCAGTGGAATGCTGATTAGAGAACCACGCTGATCCCCATAAAGTTGATATGAAGTTGCAGATACTTCTCAGCGGCTGACGATGTTCTTCCAAAAGAAGGAAATTTCCGTCACTTGAACTTCGGAAATTTAGCGCATTTCTTATAGACTTTGTAAGCCTCACGAAGTTCGAACAGAAACTTGAAATCACTCCTCCATCCAGCATTTTCAGAAGCAGGTACTTCGACTTCACCTGTATATTTTTTCTGAAAGTTCTTATACTGACTTCAAATGTTATCAACAAACTTAAAGTTTATATTTGGTTTCTGTAAGACTGTTGGAATACAGAAGTCAAGTAAATGTCGAAGAACCAAGTCAAGGATGTGGTATTTACACCCCGTGTACTGCGGTATAATAATACATTTTTCTTCAAATTTCAAATTTTCAAATTCTTTACAAAGCCGAGCGATTATTTTATTTATGCCACCAGTGTTGACTGCTGTTGTATTCACACAATTATTTTAATACTCTTTCACGCATCAATTTCCTTGAAAGAGTTTGCAAGCATACAAATTCAATTTCCTTAAATGACTTTGCAAGTAAACAAATTCAATTTTCTAGAAGGACTTTGCAAGCAAACAACTTCATATTCTTTTGATGACAGTTTCTTTCCATCAAAATGCAAACATAAATCATTTTCCTGCTGAAGAATGCATTTTATTTCAGCAGCCATTCTAATTCCATCTCTGACCACTCTTTTCCATATTCCAGTTTGTGATTGTGTGGGTAACTTAGCAGAACATTCAGCAGCTTGACTAGAACGGACTCTGAATGATTGTCTTGTAGATAGAGAATATTTGGCAACCAGATTTGCAGCAGCCTTGGTTTTTTGATATTTTTTCCTCTTTGTTTCCACTTCAGGTATAAAATCATCACCAGGTGATATTTTAGCATCAGTTTTTATGGACAGATTCATCTGAAGTTACCATAACTTGTTTCTCAACTGAAGATTGCATAATTTTTCGGTGTATCTCACATATGCATCAATAAGTTTTGCAATTTTTGGGTGGACACGTTGCATTGATACGACAGGGAAATTAAATTTATCCCAAAGTAAATTCAGTTTCTTTTCAATAGTTTCTATTCTTATTTCCTTCTCTTTTATTTTATCATGTACTCTCAAAAAATCCCAACAATGTTCCTTTCAAAAGGCATTTTGCAGAATTCATTTAATTTAGTAACTTGCAAAGGTATTTCTGAACGCCTGACACCTTTGCTTTTTATATTCTGCTGCCATTCATTGGAGCTTCTATTAACTAGGTTACATGATAGTTTAGACATGTCTTTGATGAACTAAATGAAATCTAAACTTTTTCTGTCAGAATAGCTTCTACAATAAAACAACAAAGCAATTAGTCAAAAGCAGATGAGAAAAATCGAAGCTTATAAAGCCAAACTACTAGAAACTCTACTTTTAATATAAAATTTTGAAAGTGTAAGCTTATTGGTTAAAGGCCGATTGTTAAAACTATATTTAACGCCAATTAGCAATAAGAAGCTAACATTTAAGGTATAAAACATTGCCTACATTTGGCGTAATATAAATATATAACGCCATTTGTTTAAAGTTTTATATTGAATAGTGACGTCATCAAAAGATGCTTATGGGTGCGCCACCTTTTTTCATAATTAATTTCATTATTCATATGCCTAGTATACAACATAGACTGATTAGGGAGAGCATGCAGTGAGTGTACATACATCTACTGATGATGTGGACTGGGGTTGGGTTAGAGATAGATGCAACAAAGTTACCATCGACTGATTATAAAGAGCAAGAAAGAAGTGTATATAGATCTGCTGTTTGTTTTGTGGCTTTAACCTACTGAGTTAAATAAAATAAGTTAAATTAAATTTTTTAGCATCTTTCTGGTCTTTTTTTTAAACTTAAAATAAAAACGCCAAATGTGTGATTTTTATTGGAAAATTTAAAGTCGACCAACAGAGTAAATATATTTATGTATGCATGTATAATTTTTTAACTAGGAGTAATATTTTAATTTTTCTTTTGCATGGTGAGCGCATTTAACACCTGTTTTTTTTCTTCTTTCCTATTCAA